CTCGGGGAATGGCATGTCCTTGGCCGGGATTAGCTCTGAGTTCCTCACTCGGACAAATCGGTCTAGCCAACCTCGGTCTCGATCTTCATCGATGCTCGAGAACGGGGCTTTAGAGACCCAGCGTGCAAGCTTAATCAGTCCCTCCCCTTCCCCGGAAGAATCAGGGATTGTACAGGCGCATCAGATGGTCAACGGTGAATGGCATCCGCCGATCTTGCTCATGAAGAATCGGAGGAGAATGACTATCCTCCAGAATGAGGGGTGGATCTGACCAAGGCATACCTCGTACCTTTTGCAGAACTGGATGGTCACCGGGTCCAACGGACCCAACGTAAAGGGATAAGTGTAAACACTTAAGTATCCCTTAACGTGGGTAGTGATATCTTCTTCGGGGCCAGGCACCACCACTTAAGAAAGTTTTTTTTTCTTGAATAATATTTGTTTGAAGAGTCAATTTGCATGAATAGACATCAAACAAATAACAAAACTTTGGCTATACAATTGATATCATTAATTTCAATTTAGCACCTTCAAGGAATTGAAGGGTATAAGCTGAAACCCTTTCATTTAGCTGTAGTCAAGCCAATATTGCAAGGGTATAATATTTTTTTCATTGAAGAATATTAGTTTTGAATCATTAGATTATGTGAAAGGTTTTTCTTTTCAAACTTAACAAGAGATAAATTGATTTTTAATTGATAATTTCTATAGCGACTTTTAAATGTAACAAAGAGTATATATAAAGAAAAAATTGGTATGACGTGAAATATTTTTTTTTAAAATGTAAACAAATTATTTCGAAAAATCTCTTTACTTTTTGTAATATAAAGATAATAAAAAGATAAGATATTTTTGAACATTAGTAGAGAGTTTTAAAATTATTATAATAGAAGTTATATTATGGATAAACTAAAAAAAACAAAATCTTATGGAATATTTACATAGTATCCGGCCATATTTATTGTTTACCTTTTATAGCTAATATAAATAGATGATATACCGACAACACACAATTATACACATATTGGATATGGTTATATATATAACTACACATCATTCAATTTTTTAATTTAAATGGTCTGGTGAGTACTATCCAGGCCGATTAGATAAAGCCAAAAGAAAAAAATACGAAATAATTTTAACCAAGGACTAAAAATATAGTTAAATTTCATATGTAGATATTTTTTATTAAAACTCATCCTTTATAGAGAAATAAATAATTTTTTGTAACAACAGAAATAATGAGATAAAAGAAAATAAATGCTGAAAAAAATGTTAGAAAGATCTAAAAACGAGAAATAAAAGATGACAACAAATTTATTCTTATGTTTCATCTTTGTCGAGTATAAAAAATTGAAAGTTAATCTCATCGATTTCAATTTTTTTTCCAACTCAAATACATAGATTATAAGATAAGGATATCTTCGAATATTTTTTTTAATTTACATTATGTGTCGTTTTTAAAAAATCACTATTACTAACAATCTGATATGATATTCGAATTTGAATTGGAATGCAATTTGAGTAGTTTGCATTGAGGTTAAGCCAAGTATGATGTCGAACAATGAACTACTTGAAAATTTTAAGACAATATATGCAATATTTTATAATAATAATAATAACTAATTTAACATTTAATGATTCAAAGAACAAACTTTTTGTATATATAAGGTATTAAAAATTCAAATTCTGGGGTTAGAGATATCGATAAACTTAAAGTAGAGTCATACTGAAAAAAATCCGGCCAAAGAATCATTTAAATTTTTAGATAGCCAATTAAAGTGAATTTATAATTAAGGATAATATCTTCAGTTGCATCATTATAAAGATAATCATTATTATAATATATATAAAATTTTAGAAATTGAAATTTCAAAATAGAAATATTTTTTGAAAGATAAAATCATACCAAATAAGAGTTCAAGTCGTAATACAAGAGTCACGTCATAATCAAAGAATCGTTTATATCGTGTCAACTTTTGTGCTTTGTCATAAATATGACTTATTATTTCACTTTGTGGCTATTTTTAGGTTTCACTTACACCTATGAGAATATTGCAAAAATAAAATTATCACTACGAGAATTGAGAAAATGTTAGTCTTTTTTCATGTGGTGTTTCTTAATTAATATCTAACGATTATTTATAATTATTTAGAAGGTTTAAATGTTAAGGTTATTTACATATAATTCAAATAACTCAGATATTTAACATGGTTAATATCAAATATCAAAATGGAGTTAAAATAATTCACTAGCTAAAGAATTTTTTTATATTTTTAGATAGCCAACTAAAATGAGTTTTGAATTAAGAATAATATTTTCAATTACATTATTATAAAAAAATATTATTGAAAAATAATGTTTTAGAAATTGAAATTTTAAGAAAGAAATATTTTTAGGAGATATCAACATACCAAATAAGAGTTCAAATAGTAGTAAAAGAGTTAAATCTTATCCAAAGAGTCATTCATTGTCTCAATATTTGATTATTTTGCCATAAATATGAGTTATTATTTTGCTTCCTGACTATTTTAGGATTCAATGACACCGGCAAGAATGGTATGAAAAAACAAATAGAAGAAATTATTAATTTTTTTCACGTACTTAATATCCAATGATTATCTATATTTACTGAAAAAGTGTAAATTTTAAGATTATTTATATACAATCCAAATAACTTAAATATTTAACATGATTAGTGTCCGCGCGTCCTCGCGGGTACTAATACTAGTATTACCTTAAAAACAACAAAACATATATATAATTAACATTAAACAGAATAAAATAAGTTAATTACTCCCGTGAAAAAAATAATATTCCGAATATATAAAAGGAAAATATATAATAATAAAAAAAACTATTTAGCAACAAATATTAAGTCTACTAGTTTAATGATGACTATAATTGCATAGTTATTTAAAGTATAACTATAACTCACATGTAGTAATACTTTTTTGATATTGATTTATGATATTATTTTTTAGTCATATGCTCATATTTGAATTTTATTAAATTGTTAATTTATAATGTTTCTTTAGATTTATTGTAACTATTAAGTCATTACAATTGTATTGGATCAACATGAATAGATTTTTATGCTTATTTATATTGAATATAATTAGTTATCAATATAATTACATACAAGAACATATTTGTTTAAATGTGAGATAATTAAACATTTAAATTTAATTAAGTAGATCACATAGTTAGTTAAATCATGTTAAACTTACAAGTAATAATTTATTTAATATACAATAATAATATTTTAGTTAGTTGAATCATACGCTTTAATATCAAACATATTAAATTCTTATTTTTTGAAATAAAACTTTATAGCCACAAAAGAGATGAAACCTAATCTAGTATGCAAACCATGTTAAATTCTCAATTGTTTCGATAGATAATGAGTTTTATGATAATTAATAAATTATTAAAGGACCAAATTTATATGACTTTTGTTTTTTTATCATCTTGATCATATATATAATGTAATGGATACAAGCTTATAGTTGTATAAATTCTATATAATTAGTTATTCATACATTAATTAGATATATTCAATTATTCTTTATAAATATAATTCAAACCTAAAAGTAATACTTATTTTGTAAGAATTGCAATATTGTTATTTTTGTTATGGACTTAAATATTAACCATGTTATAATCTTAAGTTTATATTATTAGAAAAACTTAGTTTTTGAAAGACTAATATGAACATTAGTACTTATTTCAAAAATAAGCACCTAGATATATGAAATTACTTTAAGTACTTATTTAAAATAATTAAGTACCACACATACATACATATCTCTACAAACTGTTAAAGTTTTCTATATGAGTACTTATTTTAAAATAAGAGCTTAAATATAATAAATTATGTTAAATTTCTTATTTAAAATAATAAAGGACCAAACATGCATAAAATAAAGTATGAGCTTAATAAGTCAAGAAGCTAATTGATAAGCATTGATGCCAAATGCACTTACTAACTTTTCTATATTGTAGGAAAAATCTAACTTTTATATTTAAAATTTATTTTTGTAAAACTTCTCTAATTTTTGGACAAACTCTTATATTGATTTTTTAATCAAAGCCAAAATATTTATTTAACTATGAAAAAATTTTAACAACTAATTTATTATGGTAAATAATATTGATATGGTAACTTCAAGCACATGACAAAAATTATAACTAACTGCAGAAGTTTATTGTCTCTCTGAATCTTGTGGCTATATCATAACAAATACTTGTAGCTAATAAGCCAACGATGTTCTCGGTTTCATATAATTTGAATTTTAAAATAGTTTTTAAATTTAATATTTATTTCAAATCATTATTGTGGCTAACATGTTATAATCGCAGTAATATTTGGAGATGCAATACTTATATTTAGCTACAAAATTTTATTGTATCAGAATAAGTTTGTAGCTATTAAGTTAGTTTTTGCCACAAATTTTTATAATTGAAGCAAAAATACCTATTCAGCTACAGTATTTTGTATCGAGTAATATTTTGTGACTAGAAGATTAATATTGCTACAGTAATTTCAGACGTGTGGCAAAAACTCATAATTAGCTACAAAATATTGTCGTAGCAATAATTTTTTATATCTATTAATGCAATTATTACTACATGCTTTTATAACTTGAGGCAAAAATATCTAATAGCTATAACATTTTGTTAGAAGTAATTTTTGTGGCTATAAAATTGGTATTGCTACAGTAATTTCAAATGCGTGGCAAAAAAATACGATTAACTACGAAATTTTATTGTAGCAATAACNTATTGTAGCAATAAATTTGTAGCTATTTGGGTAATATTGCTACGACAGTTAGCAATTATAGCAAAAATGCTAAATTAGCTTTGTTAATTTAATTTTGTAGCTAAACTTTTTTATGAAATTTTAATTTTTGTGGCTATTGTTAGGTATTAGCTACAATTTTCATATATGTAGCTAAGAATTTGTAGCTATATATACATAATGTTGTAGTGGCAAATTCTAACATTGTACGCTTGGCTGCCCTTTTTTTTTTGGCTACAAAACTCTAAAGTAAAGGAACTAGAAAACTCGTTTGGCGAGAGAAAGAGAGAGAGATGAGTCAATCAATTTCTCCATTAATCTGTTCTCACTTTGCGAAATTTCAGTCGAATATTTGGAGATGCAATACTTCTCAACTCAGAGTTATACACTCATCATATGCCTCTTTTGGAGGGAGAAGAAAAGAGAGAGTAAGAAGAATGAATCGAGCAATGGATCTTTCTTCAAGCTCTCGTCATTTGGCAGATTTTCCCTCAACAATTTGGGGTGACCATTTTCTCTCCTACAATTCTGAAATAACAGTAAGTCACAATCCCATGCTTATATTCTACCGTCAAACTTCTCTATAACAACTCCATTTGTTGCGATCGTTTTTTATTGTTATAGTGAAGTGTTGTTATAGAGATTATATATTATAATATAACATAGTAATCGGTTCCGAGAAAACTTGATTCTTTAGTGAATGACTGTTATATGGGGATGTTATAGAGAGGTCTGACTGTGTTACCTAAAGGAATAATGAAGATGTTATAATTTTATTAGAGATGGATGAAGCATTTAAACATGAAAGATTCAAGCTTTAAGATTGGTCTTTATCGTACTTTTGAAATTATGAGTTTGGAATTTAATACTTCCTCCGTCTCAAAAAAGAATGAATCTTTTACTATATGGGGTCAAATAAGATTTTCTTTGGCCATATTTTTTGCAAATGCATTTCAAATATTTTGAATTTTTAATTGTTGTGACTTACAATACCTTTTATGCAGTTTCTAAATGTGTAAAATTTATTTCAAAACATTTAAAGAATATATGTTCATCACATTAAAAATTATTGAACTTGACTCTCATGCTCCGACAATNGACAAGGTTTAAATAAATTGAAACGAATGGAATATTACTATTTTGTAAAAACTTAGGTAGGTTTTCACTATATATCTAATAATGTATTCAAAACTCATAAATAATGATCAAAAGGAGCCTTGTGACCGGGAGGTCACGGGTTCGAGCCGTGGAAACAACCTCTTGCAAAAATGTAAGGTAAGACTGCATACAATAGACTCTTGTGGTCCGGCCCTTCTCCGGACCCCGCACATAGCGGAAGCTTATTGCACTAGGCTGCCCTTTTTAATGATTAACATATGTGTATCTAGGATTTAAATTTTTTGGGTTCAACCTTTAAGGATCTGTTACAATTTTAGTAGAATGTTACACATAAATTTGTGCTCCGTGAATGTATTGAGTCAGATGAACCTGGTATTATACATGCGGATACGCTCCTGATGCTCAATTTCTGCCTGCAGGAAATTACTACCCAAGAGAAAAATGAACATGAAATGCTAAAAGAAATAGTTCGGAAAATGTTGGTAGAAACTCCAGATAATAGTACACAAAAACTAGTCTTGATTGACACAATTCAAAGATTGGGATTAGCATATCATTTCAATGATGAGATTGAAAACTCCATTCAAAACATCTTTAATTTGTCTCAAAATAGTGAAGATGACGATGAACACAACCTTTATGTTGCTGCTCTTCGTTTTCGACTTGCGAGGCAACAAGGATATTACATGTCTTCAGGTACCTTACATTTCTGCCCTTTCCCGCACAGCTTCATTTTTTTTCGTTGTTAAAAGGCAGCTCGGCGTATAAAATATCTCGTGTATACGCAGGGTCAGGACGGACCGCCCCCAAGGGGTGTAAAGTATGCAACTTACCCTAATACTAAATATCTCGTGTATACACAGGGTCAGGACAAGTCGCACCCAAGAGGTGTAATGTAGGCAACTTACCCTAATGCTAGCATTAGTAACTGATTTTATGGCTCAAACACATAAATTGTAGGTCACACAGTAACAACTTTATCGTTCTCAAAGACTCGCCTTCCTCTTTTTTTAGTTATCGCACCTTATTTGTGCAGAGAATAGCAAGTTTCGAGATCTGCTTCTATATAGAAGACTTCTGTATTATACTTTTTTATTTTGTCCTTCTGCTTAAAAATAGTAAAAAACTATAATGTGGAAATTGTAAATTTCTTAACTAGCTGTGAAATCAAATAGTTATTATAGGAATATTATTTAAGACTCCACTTATGGAAAACCACTGGGTTGCTGTTGTTATTGTCAATAATAACTTGGGGTACGATTTACTTCTTTTTCCATGGCTTGTCCACGACTATATTTCTATTAACAATGTTGTGACTATGCTTTCCTTGAGTCGAGGATCTATTGATAACAGGCTCTCGATCTTTACAAGGTAAAAGTAATGTCTGCGTACACACTCTACTCCGCAGACTCCACTTGTAGGATTTCACTGAATATTTTTTGTTGTTGTTGTTGTTGTAATAACTTAGGGTTTAATTTCTTGATGCTAATGAAATTCATTTCTTTCAAAATATAAACATGGTGTTCAACCAGATGTGTTCAAGCAATTCACTAACCATGACGGAAAATTCAAGGAAAATCATACTAATGATGTTCAAGGATTATTGAGTTTGTATGAAGCAGCACATATGAGAGTGCACGACGAGGAAATTCTAGAAGAAGCTCTTATCTTTACCACGACTCATCTCGAGTCCGTGATCCCGAATTTGAGCAACTCGCTTAAGGTACAAGTTACTGAAGCCTTAAGCCATCCTATTCGCAAAGCTATACCAAGGGTGGGAGCAAGGAAATACATACACATATATGAAAACATTGGAACACATAATGATTTACTTTTGAAATTTGCAAAGTTGGACTTCAACATGTTACAAAAGCTTCATCGAAAAGAGCTTAACGAGCTAACAAGGTACATCTACTATTCTTGTCATCTTCATAATTATGGTACAATCAGACCTCTCTATAAAACACATCCTTTATAACAACAGTTCACTATAACGGTCAAGTTTTCTTTAAAATCAATCTTTTATGTTACCAAATATTTTTGAAAGAAACGTGACTATTATAGAGAGGTTTGACTGTAACTCGCGCTAATTAATAACACCTAAAGTTTAAGTATGTTAATGTTGTTATGATATCTATAGCTGGTGGAAAGATTTGGATCGTGCAAACAAATTTCCATATGCAAAGGACAGATTAGTAGAAGCTTACTTTTGGACGGTGGGAATATATTTTGAACCTCAATATAGTCGTTCAAGAAGTTTGGTAACAAAAGTAGTCAAAATGAACTCCATTATTGATGACACTTATGATGCTTATGCAACTTTTGATGAGCTTGTGCTTTTCACGGATGCGATCCAAAGGTAAAATTATATATAATAAAATCTTTCTATAACAACGTCATTTATTCTGATATTTTTTTAAGATGCTATAGTGAAGTATTGTTATATAGAAATATATTATGACAACTTAGACTTTGCAGATGGGACGAAGGTGCCATGGATTTATTACCGACATATCTGAGACCTATTTATCAAGGCCTTCTCGACGTTTTCAATGAAATGGAAGAAGTATTGGCCAAAGAAGGTAAAGCAGATCACATCTACTATGCGAAAAAAGAGGTAATCCTTGATTAAGTTACATTAATTACTACTTAATAGTTAATTAAGTAAACCAAGTTGTAGGGAAGAATCGCAATTTTGAACTATTAGTACATTTTCTGTTACTTTTTTAGATGAAAAAGGTGGCGGAAGTCTATTTTAAGGAAGCTGAATGGTTGAATGCTAACTACATTCCAAAATGCGAGGAGTATATGAAAAATGGACTTGTAAGCTCTACCGGTCCGATGTATGGAATAATTTCTTTGGTTGTTATGGAGGAAATTATAACAAAAGAGGCTTTTGAATGGTTGACAAATGAACCTTTGATTCTTCGAGCTGCATCAACAATTTGTAGATTAATGGATGATATGGCTGATCATGAAGTAAGTATAACAATATAATTTTCATTTTATATAACAATAGCCATCGTAATTCGCGAATTTTGTCCCTAAATACAATACAAAAACAACTACAATAACAAAAACAACATATCCAATATATTCCTACAGTACGGGTCTAGGAAGAGAGATGTGTACGCAGATCTTACCCTACCTTATAGAGGTAGAAATGTTGTTCCCGATAGACCCTCGACTCAAAAAAAGCATTTCTCAGTCTGATTTCGAGTCTAGGTGGCACTTTTGCATGATAAAATAAATAGACATGCTTGATAAATTACAACTTCAATGATCACATTTACTTAAACTGAATTATGGAACTTTAGAAACGGCTGATTAAAATGGTAAAATATTGTATAATATTAATGAAGAAATTGAAATATATTATGTTGTAGGTTGAACAACAAAGAGGACATGTTGCTTCATTTGTTGAGTGCTACATGAAAGAATATGGAGTTTCAAAGCAAGAAACATATGTTGAGATGCGGAAAAAAATCACAAATGCGTGGAAAGATATAAATAAGGAACTCTTGCGCCCTACTGCAGTACCAATGTTTATCCTCGAACGATCTTTAAATTTTTCAAGATTGGCCGATACATTTTTGAAAGATGATGATGGATACACAAATCCCAAATCCAAAGTTAAAGACTTGATTGCTTCGTTGTTTGTCGAATCTGTCGACATATGATTATATATAACAATGCAGACACACCTTCAAAGCTGAGTATTTGGAGCAAATATGGAAGCATTTTGTATATTGTCCATGTAACCTATAAGTCACGTGTTTGGACAATGCCAATATTTACTAATATTTGCATTATGGTAGGTTGTTTACATCACACCCATTGGGGGCGACCCTTCCTAAACCTGACATGAATGTGGGATGTTTTGTACACCTGGCTGCTTGTTTTTACTATTTCACTGTTACAACTTATTTGGACGGTTGTTACCTATTGAATCATATAGTATTGTTACTTAAATACAATGTTTATTTTAATTATTACTTAAATTTTATTCTATCGTATCATTAAATCCATCATTACGTAACAATGAAAAGTGTCACTTTATGGAATGACGGATTTGGTGTGGCGGTGTCATTTCCTTGCGTTTTTCTCTCATCTTGCCCTTCCTTATTATTAGATAATCATCTTTTATCATTTATCCTACTTTTTATACAATAATTTTACTCCATATCCTATTTTTTCTTAGTAATGTTGCAAGTTTATTCTTCATATTATTAGTGCGTGACATCACGAAACGATAACAAACGATACAATATCCAAATATTGCATTCATCAAACAATACAATACAATATAATACAATACAATACATTATAAAACGACATGCAACAACAATCCAAACAAGCTGTTAGTTATGTTTAGAAGGGACAATAGTTGATTTGATACATGAATCTTATTCCAGTTTTGATCATATGTTATTTGACTTGGCACATTTGACATTTAATTAGGCCAAAAACGTGGTTTTGAACGTCATTCTGCCTAAAGGGCAAGCGGGATTAAATGTTAAAACCACCCCAAAAAGTATCATATTTCTGCAATTTTTTTGTTTAAATTACACAATTGAGGTCCATCATTTTTACAATGCTCCCTGTGCTATTCGAACGCACCAGAGACAAAAAGCACAGCAGAGGCATAAATCATATTTAACAAGAGCTTTTTAGGTAGGACACTTCAGTTACCCGTTGGGATAATATATTCTAATTACACTACACTTTGCTAGAGTCTCTGGCAGAAATGCAGGGTAAGACTGCGTACAATAAATCCTTGTGGTCTGGCCCTTTCCCGGACCCCGTTAGCGGGAGCTTAGTGCACCGGACTGTCCTTTACACTACACACTACTAGAAATCCGGAAAAAAGAGACCAAAATTTAGCGACCAACATTGGTCTGTGGGAAAAAGCGACCAAAGTTGGTCGCTAAAATAGCAAAAATAATAAAATAAATAAAATAAACAAAATAGCGACCAAGGTTGGTCGCTACTTGGTTGCTATATTAGTCAAAATGTTGACTGGACTGGTCAGACTTTCTTGGTCAAACATTTACTGAGATTAGTGACCAATGTTGGTCGCTAAAGTGGGACCCACCTACAAAATTTTAATAATTATATTATTATTTTAAAAAAATTATAAAATATAAATATATATAATATAAAAATGACGAATAACGTTGGTCTCTACTTAAAGGGTAGGCAGATACCGACCAACTTTGGTCGCTTAAATGGGACCCAGTTATACAATTTTAATAATTATATTATTAATTTAAATATTATATGAAATATAATTAAATCTGATTTAAATATAGCGACCAACTTTGGTCGCTAAACTAAATTCTTGAATAAATAGCGACCAAAGTTGGTCTCTATTCAGGTCAACAATGGTCAAAATTAAAAATCACTTTTGTATTTACTATCTAAATAATATAAAT